TGTCTAAAATTATGATAGTAAAAGACAAATTAATGTTTCACTGGTACCTGAATGCTGGAACAGTATCTAGACACTGTTTACAATTTTACATTTCTATTGCATATATATTATGTTCATTTATGTTCAATTCATGTTCATAAAACTGTTTTAAATTCAACTTCCAAGCTCTCTTAAAATAAGCTCCTGAAGGATGCATACATCCAAGAGAAGCATATCCTTGCATGACATTAAAGTTTGTTGAGCGTTCTTTCTACATATGATGCAGTTATAATTTGGATTAAGAGGAAAAGAACTATCACAGGAACAATTTTTTTTCTAGGCTACATTTATACTGAGAGAATAACAACAGTAGCAGGACTAAATTGTCACAATTGAGAAAAGGCAATTTTCACAACAGTGTTTTATGAGGTCTAGAGACAAAATCCATCCAATTCACTGAAACGTCTACCATTTAATTACCCTCCATATAATCATGATTTCCAGGCCAGGTTAATCAATCAGCTGCTTTTAGCAGAAGGCTGAGAATGAAGTCGATACATAACTGCACAGCATACCAACAAAATTTACTTTGGCAATCTCTCTGTAAGGAAACTGGCAGAACAAGACTAAATGCTTCCAAAACTTTCTCCTCAGAACACGATTCAATTCATGAATAGAGGGAGAGATACAAAAACCCCCATTCATCTCTATTGGTTTAGAGCTGGCTGGAAATCTAACAGTCCAGCAGCAAGTAGGACTTTGCATTAAATGTTTTAGCCACTCAGATGCAAGGGTCTGGGGAAAAGGTGCATTATGGAACAAAATGTATTTACACAAAGTAATTTATTAAGTATTCTGTTTGTCAGTCAGAAATACCTTATCATTTACACTCACAAATGGAATTGAAGTCCATAGAAACTGTCTGTTAAAGAAATCAAGTATTCAAAAGCCTTTTTCAAAAGAGCTTTAGATGCGAGTTTCTCATTGTACCTGTAGGTGGGAGCTTTGTCATGAATGTGAATGAAGTATTAGAGAAACAGTGTATTAGAGCAAAGATCTGATATCTTCTTATTACTCTTATAAAACTGAATTGCCACAGATACAGCAAAGACATTGATTTGTTACACCCTCCTGGGACAGAAAACTGGAGCAGGTGAGAAGAGGGAGAAGACTCAAACACTATTCAGACTATCTCACCATTACCCCCATTCTCCTATTTAAGTATGTCAGAGATAGAAAATTCACTGTTTCTACAGTTACGATCTCTTCTCTTCATTAAGGTATCTTTTTGGCCTAACTTTGCCCAATTTAACTTACAGCATCTTCAGGCCGACTAAAAAGAATGACAAAACCTATTAAGATGACTTTACCACCATCTTTCCTTGCGTATGCTTCACTTGCCCTTGGTGGCAGAACTGCATTTTTAATGCTTGCAGACCACCTAGCACAGAGGTGGACCAAGGAACAACCAGAGTACCAGAAAGAGATCTACACTATGGAACTAAAACATAGATGTATTTTCCCTGCTCCTACTCTCAGAAAAGCTTCAGGCACACTACCTGCCTCACGGGCAGCATGAGCCCTCCTGATTCAGGCCAATTTTTAACTTTATAGAAATGCTGCCTGAAGCAACAGTATAAACACTTAGTATTACAGCTTTCTGATTTATATGAGAGGGTCTTTGATTGTACTTACTGATATCTGAACTTTTGCCATAAAAAAAAAATCTAGAGTAATATAATTTGTTACTCACCTTCTAGCCTATTCTCCCCATCCCAAATCACAAACAATGGTTATTTTAAAGATCATCGAATCAAGCTAACTGCAATCCATAGTATGCTCAAAATATGTTTAAGGTGGCCTGGACACTTCAGAATACTTTAGGTAACAGCGTAAGTATACCTGCATATCACAAGGAGAAAGATAACTCCATTTTACAACTGCTAAAACAAGTTTTTTCACTCAGCTTTGCTTCCTGCAAGGACATCACTTCCATGCCTACAAACTGAAATCGGATGCTCTGTTTCTGTTTTTTTTTTCTTTCAGTACTTCTCAACTTCAACATCATAAATGCACCATCTGCGCTGTTACTACCCTCCCCTTTACAGCTAAGATGGAAAGAGACGTACTCTGCCACCTTTACACAAATTTGGCAACCACGGCTCTACTATTTCCATTGGCATACCATCTTTTCATTTGAAACAGTGCAACTTTGTTATTTTTTTATGATATGTTTATAAATTCGTTCATTCTAATACCATTGTGGAGGAACCTGTCTTACAAAATCAAGTTTATAGCAGGATGTGTAAAATACTATCAGGCTCCAATATGATGAAGACTGCAGAAAAATCCTAGAAGCTGCATTAAAAAGCACGGCTGAAGTTTCATCATTCAGTTTCTTTCAGCAGGGATAATGTAGTTGGTCTAACTCTACTGATTGTGCTATAACAATACACCATCAATAAGTCAGAAGGGTGAAAATGGGGGCAAATTTAGGTTTTTGCCTTTATTTATTTAGTTTTTCCTCAGTCTCTGAGAAGAATGGATACCCGATATCCAGTCTTTGAACAGGTATGTTTTGTAAAGAAAGGCACTACTAGCAACACAGTTCAATCATTTCAGGTCTTTTTCTGAATAATATCTAAGGCAAAATCTACATAAACTCCACTAAATACCTACTGCTATAAGCATACTGTGTGTTTACAACAGCTATAAGCACGCTGCGTATTTACAAACGGCAGAATCTCTCTTCTCTTTGCCGGCAGAGCTGCGTATCTTGTCCTCAATCAGAGTCATAGGCAAGAACGTGAAATGATGGATCCCAAACACCTGCAATTCCCTACAATGGATTTATTAGCCCACATACACTGTTACCTGGTTTTATTTTGGATCACAGAGGCAATTTCTGAAGTGTCAAACATTACTCCTAAGGTTGAGGAAAAGGTCACTATGGTGTCTTTGAAGCACCGCTACGCAGTAGTGACAGAAAAGCAAAGATTGAGTTTCATGCCTGCAAGTTTTACTTAAACAAATGGCCTCGGTTTGCCTACTCGCTTAGGTGTCTCTGTTAGTTTTCCCATAATTGTGAGGTCTGCAGTTAAACGAAATGGCAGATTCATCACTGATACAATCTTTGTCCAAGGTTTACAGTCCTTTAATTTGTGTGCTTTTAGGGCTTGAGGGCATTTTCCAGTAGCTTTTCTTTATCCTGAAGGGATTTGGGTATCCTTTACAGGGGACTAAATTAATCCTTACATCAAATGATACCAGAAATGTGGCCTTCACTTGTTGTCAATTTAGAATTAAAAACGAAATTGCTTTCTCAGAAAGCAAAAGGAACATAGAACACAGGCAGAAATTACACAGAAGAAAAGATTACAGTCAATACTTCAGCGTCTACAATGTCATTAGAGAACTGACAAAAGAGTAAATACAACTTCATGTCTGTTGGATCATAAAATCTTGAATTCATCCTATGTATGGCTGTTTGCACACGTAAATTAAAATTAATAGAAGAGGAAAATCATGGCGGGAGGGGGAAATAATAGCAACTGAGGGCAAACTAAAAAACAAAACTTCACAAAGAAGTGAAGTAATTAACATCGTACTAATTTGCAGTCATTAGGCTTAGGTATGAATACTCATTCTTATGAAACGCTCCCAAACAACATATCTAAAATCTACTATTTCAGAGCGAAATGTTGAAAAGCATTTTTTTCTCCTACCCGTAATACCTAGCACGTTTTTTTCCTTCAAATGCAGGCAGAAAAAATAGTAAACTACTGAAGCCTAAAGGACCAGGAAACTACAAATTTCATATTCATATCAGATTGATTATTACCAGGTCTTAAGACTTCCCACAGCAACTGATAGTTGTTTTGACTGATTTCTAAAGAAACAGTGTAAGATTCTTCACATGAATCTTCAAAAACTTCTTACAATATTTTAATGAAATAGTGACATTTTTAACTAAATTCTCTGCTGGTCAGAAGTTGGCTTAGAGACCTAACAAACAATAATGAGGCTATATTCACTAGTCTCTATAACCAAACTAAATAACCTTGACTACTGAAAATAACTGGGTTTGTGACACTTGGAAGAAAGGCTATAATCGTGTCTCTGCTTAGTAATGCATACATGAAAGAAAATTCACGGTTTAAGAAACATCTGAACCAATGCCATAACAAGTTACTGTGCTTTGTGCTATAACCTAAACTATAATAAGATGGACCTGTCGGTTCCTGTATTTTCAGAAATTTCCTTGAACCTAGTTTTCAGTGTTCTTAAGAATAGTTAAAAAGAAATGTCATTTCAAGACTTGTTTCAGAAAAATCTTCACAACCCACCTTCCTTATTTCTAGTAATCTTGGTATTTCAATAAGGCCACCAATTCGGGGGCGAGAGGGAAAAATCAACATATTTTGTTGAGGAAAGAATTGTGTAAAGAAAAATGGACCACTATACACCTTTACTGAGGACAAATATCACAGAAGAACCACAGAAAAACTGCTAATTTAAACGAGTAAAAACTAGCTAGATTTTATTAATATTTACAAACGAAAACTGTGTATTTACAATGTAAGCACTTCAAAGTAACATAACTTGTGAAAAAAAAAAAAAGATCTTTAAGCATTTGACCAGCGGAACACATTTTCTCTCCCTGAATTCAAAGGGAAATAGAATTTTGCTACATCCAAAAGCTATTTTTTTTCACTTGTAGAGGAAAATTACAAGCAGAAATCTACAAGCAATAGAGTGTTATTTTAAACTCATAAGAACAGTTATATAGATTAATGTGGCATAAATCTCATACCAATGCAGATTATTATAAGGTGCATGCATAATAATAAAATCAAGCCATCTCAATTAAATGTGTTAACATAAATTTAGTTAGAAATTCAGAAGGGAAAAAAAAAAGCACTTTGTTCTACAAGTAAAAGGACGGTTAAAAGGAGAGTTTTTCTTAGCTTGGAGAGGTTTTAATTTTCCTTATGTAACACTTCTACCAATCCTTTTAATGACTATCTGCTATTGCAGATCCCTTTTTCAGGAAGGAAAAACATTCTGTTCACTTCACTGATAGGAATATCCCTCAATGCTGGAATTGCTTCTTCTTGAAATTTCTTCTGTTGCTGCTTTTTTGCATAGTTATCTACAAGAGACAATGAGAACATTCCACATATTAAAGATTTTGTTCTTTCAAGAAATGCTATATAGTGCAACACTGTATAAATTTAGTTACTCTGACTCATGCTGAAAACCCCATCTTGCTGAGGTGTAATGAGATGGTCACCAGAAATGCTTTACATCAACATATATTAGCAGAGCCCTTGAAGAAAACAATCCTACTCT